AATACAAAAGAGGGCATATGACTACAGACACACTATCAAGAATTCCTGCAATACAACTTCATGCCATTCAAAAATCAGATCCAGATGCCAGATTAACATCTTCAGATGAAGAATTTAACAAAAAATTAGGAATAATGCTGAAAGATACACCATTATGTTATGATGAAATCATAGCAAAATACTTTACAGACTCTAAAGTATATCTTCCTAAACAAAGCGAGAAAGCTAAAGAAAAAGAGATAACAATGTCTGAATTAACTCAATCAACAAAGACAGCCTCAGAAAAAGAACCTCAAGAGGAACCTAAGAAAGAAAGACCTAAAATAAAAATATTATCACAACTTATAATACCTCCACGAAAAGAGAAGAAAGAAATTCCCATAGAAATAGGAGAATCTTCGAAAACTCAAAGAAGTAAAAGACAAATAACACCAACTGTTCGTTCTTCAACAATTTCAGCCTTATCTGAAAACGACCATTGATCTTCTGATCGTATGAAGTTCCGTTTGAAAAATAATTGGTGATTTTCCCATTGGCTCCGAGTATCTGGTCCGTGGCCAGAATACTCTGGCTCCAGTTCCCTTGGCAGATAGATAATTTATTGGTAATAACATATGTATAAAACACATTTTTACAAGTCAAGACAAAGTACAGTTAGGTAAATGTGAGGGTGAATGTCGGAAAATTTCTCAACATTACCCAAGTACCTATTATATATAATATATTTATACGTTCACAATTATAGTTATTATTATTATATTTTCACTAATAGCTAACAATTGATATTACATAATCCATCTTTACACACATGTTAAAATGACAACTTAAAAAAATCTAAACATTTAAATAATAAAGTAGAATACATGGTCATGGTCACACAATAAATATAACATAAATGGTTACATAATAAAATAGAAAACATATGGTTACATATTAAAATCAGAAGCAAAATACTCCTCATATGAGTAGAAAGCATTTTTTATCAAAAATAGTATATTGTTGTATTAGGAGTAGAAGCTTTACTTTTTTGTGCTGAAGCAGTAGGTTTGCGAGCCGAACGTAGTGAAGCTTGCAATACTGCTGAAGCACAAAAAAGTGCTTCTGCTCCGTGTGCAACACGCTATTTTTTCTCCAAACAAATGGGGTAAGCTCGGGGGTAACTGAATTGTTAAGCGGCAGTAAAAGTACGAGCGGCACTAAAAGTACTTTTGCTGCCGCTGGGGTTGCCAAGCAGCATAGAAATTAAATTTCTACCACCTCGACAGGTGTTACCTGCTGGATTTGCCTACCAGCATAGAAATTAAATTTCTGACATCTTGACAGAGATTAACAAAGTGGCGTTTTTTTGACGTTTGGAGAAAAAGTCTTTACTCTCACCTTGAACTGGCTGATGCTGAGAATTTTTATATTTGGTGGTAATAAATTGAAAAATTTTATTGCGAGATACCTGGTGCCATTTCTAGTTCTCCCAAGTCGGCCAAAGTCCGGAACAAGTTTGTCATTATTTCTGGTAGGATAATTATGTTGATCTAGATGCAATTTATAAAGATGGACATTTTGCTTTACATACAACAGACACTCCAACACATAGATACATGGCAAAGTGAGAATATTCAAAGTCACAAAATACTGGCGACAATCCTCTCTGTAGCCCAAGCCACATATGATACGGACACATTTACGCTGATGTCCAAAAGCCTTATCTATATGACATGAATGACCCCATGATAAAATGGCATAAGACAAGTTTGAGTGAAAATATCCATGATACGCCATCAGAACAGTTTGCCTGGAGGTGACCTTCACCAGATTACGAACCTTCCTCTATGCGCCCCTGTTTAGGGCCATCGGGCGTTGGACATGGAGAAAATGGTTTATCCTTGTTTCAAGGGGCCATAGTTCTGCAGACATGACAGCATCATAATTTTTCTTGGGGATGCCAAGTTTAAACGAACTGTAGTCACGATCTCTCCTGGTTGCCATTTTTTCACAAGTGCAGTCCTCATCCAATTGATATTTTTTTAGGTACTCCATTATGTCTTCCACCGTTGTTTCGGAGGCAAAGCCAGAAACAAAAATCCAAGCTTTATCAATCTTCTTCACTATTTTCAACATATTATCTGTGTTTGCTCCTTTCTTTGGATTTGGTCTATTGACATGAGACTTTTTTTTGTAAGAAACTACTTTAAAGCCTTCATTGTTTTGATCTTTGTTTTTATCTTCACCAGGATTGACCTCATTAATTGGAATTTTGCTGGAAATGTTGGAATCATTCTTTGTTTTTGTTATTATTTCAACCGTGACATTTTTGGGTTTCTGCGGTTTTTGTTGATTCCGCTTACTTGGCACTATGACATTTTCAGAAGATCCGTCAGTCTGCTTGGCTTTAACCTCACTTTCTGTTGACATTGGCGTGTTTGGTGAAAAAGGCGGGAGATTTGATATTTTTCTAACCTCAAATTCCGCATTTTTTAATTTTTCTTGAAGAATGACCTGATTTTCCTTCAATAGCATATTGTTTTCCATCAGAAGTTGATTTTTTTCTTCCAGATTTTTGATGATCATTTGATAAAGGCACTTTTCGCTGTCCCAAAAATCATCACAGGCATAGGAGGGCACATGCCGGCAGGACGCCAGTTTTTGAGTTGCTGCTTGTATTAAACAGGATGGATGGAACTGTTTTAAACATTTTCCACATTGCACAGCGCTTGAGACACTTTTGCTGCAGTATACACACGTTAGTTTAATTTTATCTTCACATTTTTCGCGTAATTTTTCGGAGCTGCTTTCAATGACATCCACAACCGGCGGTTTCTTGTTTTTTTTTTTTTTTTTTTTGGCAGTTTTGGCAGTTTTGGCAGTTTTGGAACCGTCTGTGTACAGGGCTTTCATTTCAAAACTTGCCACCTACGTTATCAGCGTAAAAAGACAGATTTCTGGACATCGCCGAAACACGTCAACAAATTTATTGAGGGGAATGTTTTTTACGTAAGACTGGACTTCGCCCCTTCAACCCCCTAAGCTCTAGGGCTACCACCCCAAAATTTTGAAATGAGACGCAGGGGGTCGAGTGATAGATCATTTTAAAGGGCTGTTCAATCTGTAGATTTTTCCGTCTTATTTTTTGAATTTGACCTCAGTGTTGCAGAATAACACCCATGTCATTGTTTAAAAATGCCTATTTGTCCTTAATTACACCTGCTGCTGTAATAAAAAGGTAGGTGAAAAAGCAGGTATATGTTTAAGGATAAATAGGCATTTTTAAACATTGAAATGGGTGTTATTCTGCAACACTGTGGTCAAATTCAAAAAATAAGACGGCAAAATGTACAGATTAAGCAGCCCTTTAAAATGATCTATTACTCGACCCCCTGTCTCATTTGAAAATTTTGGGCTGGTAGCCCTCTGCGGGTTGAAGAAAGGAAATCCAGTTTCACGTAAAAAACCTTCGCAATGGATCACAAACTTTTGAAGAACAGCGACATAGACACGAGACCGAAAAGAGGGAACGCAGGAAGGAGCGAGAGTTCAGAAGAAGACACAATGCTGTCAGAGACTGGGTGGGCCAAGACTTTTGAGTGTGCGGCTCCAGAATTGGTTTATATAGCCATCAGAACACACACAATCGACGAAGAATAGAATATGCCTAACATGCCTAATAAATTTGAGGGCTTAATCACAGTTCAGCTCGGGTTAACTTGAACCGAACCCATAACATGATATGTTTGTTCATGCAACTGAGCCTAGGATATGCATTCGTACGTTAAGCCAATGAAACCGCAGACATTAAATTGAAAATTCGATTCATTAAACCAATGTTATTTGTACATTATATTGAAGAAGTTATTTCACTCAGGCAACGAATTCTATACGTCAAAATGATAGAATCCTTACTCTGCGACAATGAATTCAACCGTTAAATCAATGAACCTTTTTTTCATCTATTTAACGAACACTTTTTCATAATATTAACAAATTGGTTCACCGGCTCAATATTAATGACGAGATTCACTGGCTTAATGCACTTTTTCGTTATATTTGTGTACCCCGAAAGGGGGGGGGGGGCATTCACGAAAAATAAAAATTACGGGTCCCCTTTTTTTTAATAATCTTTGCCAATATTTTGTTGCATTAACTTCCGGACACTCTCTATAGTATATCATTTGTTTTAAAAAATAATCATACATTTTACCCAGAAATTAGTTTATTTGGTAATTTTTTTTGTAGGTATAGTCAAACTTTACCTAAGTATCTAGTTCAATTTCGGCATGTTTAAAATCGTTAATTTGCAACAAAAACCTACATGAGAGAATACTTAAAAGTCTTAACAGGTACAATATGAATATTATTATCCTTTACATCAAAAACATTAAGTTTTACGTAACAAAAAAGTAATCTTAATTTCGTTTTGACAAGATATTTATCAAAAGGTAACTTTAAATTCCTTTTAGAAGCAGATAATGATCGCGAGGTGCCCCTGTCGGCGTCTTAAAATATTTACATAAAAATCAAATTAATTGTCTTTTATTTAATAAAAACGCGTGCCCTGATTTACATGATTTTTCATTAATACAGGTTTTGATGAGAACATTTCATTTCATATTCACAATATAGGTATTTGAGTTATTGAAATTGTAAATTAGATGAAAGAAAGTAGGTATTTTCAATTTTGGCAATGGGGTTTTCTCTTGAATATTAAAGAATCATTGTCATTTAAAAAAAGAAATGTCAATGAAATCTAACAGACAAATGTGCATACATTAACATTAAAAAAAATAACATCGTCCACTTATATTATCCGCGCCTTTAATTGTCTCGGCCGCCTTTTTCAAAACTTCTTTACGATTACGAAAGAGTGGTGATTGCGTAACAATTAAGAACACTGCTTATTTTGATAGCCCACCATTCAGAGCTTGTCTTGTCTGGTCCAGATTTGCACATAATTGCTCCACTTTTTTTCACATATATAATGATCAATCGCGGTCAGGATCAACATTGCAGTTCTAAGTGTAGTCTGATAAAGACAACGTTTTGAGTTAAACAATCATGGCTTTCAAAGTAAGTGTATACCAACACCAACCCTTATTAAATTGCGTCTTGGTTTACTCACTGATAAAAATCCTAAAATTTCGCTTATAAAATTTAAAAACCAAACTTGGTGACTTGAAAACGAAACGTCGGATTTCAGTGTCGACAAAAGTTGCCCTTTTTACTTCTTTGTTGAAAAAGTACTTTTTCATTCTTAGACGTCGTTTTATGTGTTCATAGTTGCCAAATTAAGATTCTCTTGTAATTTTCGTGATATTTCTTTATGGTCGGTAATTATTTTCTGCATTTCAAGAAGAAAAATCTGTCCGTGATTGCTCTTACTCCATCATGAAAATTTGAGCACGTGAAAGTGCAATCACGTTTGACGAATTCATATTTTCTTGGAGTGAATAGGTATCGTCTTTGATTGAAAATAGGCTTCTGGACACCCTGTGTGAATTATTTATTCGTCAAATGAAATCTTGCAATATTATTGTACCATTATCTTAAATTTCAGTTCGTCGCTTTCGCCACACTCCTATCCTACGCTAGCGCAGGAGTAATTCCAGCAGCTCCAGTAGCCTATGCAGCTGCTCCAACTGCGCATCTAGCCTACGCAGCTCCCATAGCCAAAGCCGTAGTTCGTCAAGCCGAAGAATACGACCCCAATCCACAATACAGCTACGGATACGATATCCAAGACGCACTTACTGGAGACGTCAAGAGCCAGAGCGAAAGCAGAAACGGAGATGTTGTACAAGGCAGCTATTCTGTTGTTGACCCAGATGGTAAGAGATCATCCATATTATTCTCAATTTTTGGAAACCAATTTTCGTGTTTTATCAGTCAGATGGCGTTTTACAGCTTTTTGAGCGAGTAAAATGGGTTCAATGGTGTAAGCTTTACATTTCCGAAACGCTGTAAAACTACCATAGGCCTCGGTCTTGAACCACATTTTTTTTTAAATTATTTAAAACTGACAGTAAACCTTTTAATTTACAGGAATAATAAACTAAAGCTGTAGGAATAATAAACAGAAGTTGTTATTTGGCTGAAATACCAATAGTTCTTCTTGAACTACTTCAAACTTTCGGAAATAAATGGACAACTCTTTTATAAAACAAAATTAAATTTAAGCTTATTGCCTATTCATCATTTTTTTGTTTTTTCAGGTATCAAGAGAACCGTAGAATACACTGCTGACCCTATCCATGGATTCAACGCAGTAGTCCACCGTGAACCTTTAGCTGTCAAAGCTGTTGCCGCCCCAGCTTATGCTAAAGTGGCTGCACCAGTCGCTTACAATGCCTACCACGCGCCTGCTGCCTACGCTCACCCAGTAGCCTACGCTGCTGGTCCATCTGTAGCTAAAGTGGCCTATGGTTCTCCTGCAATCGCTTACCACCACTAGATAGATGTACGAGTTTAGAGTGAATTTTGTAAATATTTATTGTTATTTATTTCTTTGTGACTGAATAAAAGTCGTAAAAAAAACTTTTGCTCAATTACGTATAAAGTGTCCCCCTTGAACCTCTTAAAGTCTTCATCGTGTGGGAATTCTTCTTCGAATAGGGACCTTATTGACAAGATAATTACTGAACTAGTTTGAGCAGACAATTATTGGTGCACTTATCCGAGCTTATTTGTGGTACCAGTGGACTTTTACCGAATTTGAAATCGAAAAACAAATTCACTAACGTATTTCCTGGGAAATTCCAGAAACATTTATTGTGTTCCATTTGGAAACCGTATAAGTGATACAAGAATGTCTGTCTTTTAAAAGGAAAACTGCTACTCTCTATCAGTGCCTGAAAAACGAGTAATGATATCATCAACATATCGATGCCATAATAAAGAAATCTTTGACTTAATGGATCGTTAAACATATGTTTTCCAAAATCATCCATAAAAATTTCAGCCAATAACGGACTCATAGGAGTAGGTACCTATAGTCAAAGCCTCTTCAGAAACATGAACACTATTGTTAAATTCAAAATAATTTTGATCCAAGCAAACCGAGAGAGAATCTTATACATATATTTGGTTTAATGATTATGTTAACTCTATTTTTTGTTGAGAATATGTTGATTAGTTCGATTTCGATTACTTTATTAGGTGGAACACTGGGAAACAAATGTTTAAATTCAAAAGATATTAATTTAGAATTTTTTGGAATTTTTACATTTTAAATTTTGTCAATAAGTTCATATGAATTGTTAATGCTAAATTTGGGAGAAAAATTACACCAGTATTGTAATAAGATGTTTATCATTTTTTCTGAAAGTTTTGTTGAAGGAGCATCAATAAAGAATACAACCGGTTCAATCTTAATAATCTCTTCGTAATGGTTTGTTGGATCAAAATTTATTTTCTAAACATTGTTGGAGTCGAATAATTCTTAAGTTTTCTAAACATATTGGTCTTTAGGTATTGCTACAGCACAGTTTCCCTTATCTGCTTTGGTAAATAGAAGATGTTATTTTCTTTGGTTATATTTTGAATTAATTTGGCAACATTAAAGGGGGTGTGACCCTGAAAAACGACCTGAGCTACTCAAATCAAGAAAAAAAATCTAAGATCTCTCGTGAAAACCGGAGTCCTATATTCAAAATATTCTCTGAGAAAATTCCTTGTGAAGATAAATTATGCAGGAGCTTTTACAACCGCCGAAAACGCAGTCTTCTGTTCGCTCAGTAGTCAGTGAACCGTACCTATACTTTGAGTAGTTGCAATTCGCTCTAGTGAGATAATTGTCTTTTGTTTTGAAAAATTCATAAAGTTTTTTTTTTTTTTTAAGATAATTCCCCAAGTCAAAAATTTAGTAACTATGTTGGCAATACAAGCTTTTTCTACGTAAAAAATTTGAAAGTATTGACAATTTTACATTGTATTGCCAACATAATGTCATTTTGACTTAAAAAAAAAACAGACTTTACACGTGTTAATACTGTGCGTGATAATTCAGTGTGACGTCACAAACACCTAGTTGTAACTTTAAACCGCCCTAACTCGAAAACGGACCATCTTAGCAAGATGCGGTTTAAATCTTTATTATTAGATTTTTTTGCACTAAAACTTTCATTTTTGGGTCACACCCCCTTTAATCACTCTAGATAAATGGCTTGATGTTTTTTAATAATTTGAGATACCTACCTACCCAATATTTCTCAGAGTTGTCAATACTTACCATTAAAGGCAAGTTCACATTCAACACCGAGATATTGCCTTAGATGTTGGTTATCTTTGGAAACAAGGTTGTATCTGACACCGCACTTATGAGAAATGGCATTCGGTGAAATTGTCTAAAACTTGAAAATGCTGTGTTCCTGGACATTCTAATCAGAAATTACCATTGGCACAAAAAAATCCAACGAGCCATTATCGAGTTTTGGTACGTTAAAAGATTTCAGGTGCACACACACTTCAATCTCACTGCTTCAAGGCGTATAGGCCAGGGCAGTTAGCAAAAATAGGAGAAGTTTTTGCAATCAAGCTGATTTTTTCACAGATGATAGTACCCATCAATAGAACTCTGTAAAAAAAAGTTACACCTCCTAGGAGGCTTGCTTTTTCCGCCATGATGAATTAAAGATGGCGGCTGGTGCTATTCTTGAAAAAAATCGTAACTTTCTCATTTTTTAACCGATTTCCATCAAGTAAAAAAAAATACCTTTATTTTTGAATAAAGAATAAAATGAAAATATAAAATTATTTTGAAAGGTTGTATTTCTGTCAAAAAAATAAAAAATAAGAATAGAAATTCAATTGGTTTTCTTCAATTTTTTCTGAACAGTAGGTACTTCTTAGTAATTTTTTTTTTAAATATGCACTTTTTTCTCTGATTTTGAAACAGTTTTTGAGTTTGTGATAAGTTGAGTAATTCGCGAGATATAGGCGAAAAGAACTTGAGAATCCAAGAAAAACTTATGCAGGAAACTCTATTTTTTGTATACGCTCCCAAAAATAGCTATTTTTTGGACTCATTTCAATCCGTAAATTGCTCCATTTCCGGCCTAGTCCGTAAATCTTCATTTTCGGCCTACATCGTAAAATGCTCCATTTTTGGCTTAGTTTCTAATAGTCGTCATAGCAACCTTGTCAGTTTGTATGTACTATGCACCTGTCGGACCTGCCAATGCATAATCAGTTTAAAATTTTTAATGTTGTCACATTCACTTCGCATCTTTGAGCTAGTACAAAAAAGTATTGTTTGTTTCACGTACCTAAAATACCTATAGGTTTTTTAGGTACCTACCTACTTGTTACAAAAAATACATATTTTAGCTCGATTGACATGAAAACAGTTGCCTTTGGTTTTAGTTGATTTTTTTTCTACTGCCTTGCGTAAAGTACTTACTTTACGCACTGTTAAAACGTTGAATTAGATTTCACACACTATCGCGTAGAGTGATTCACAACAACAAAAAAGTTTACAAAACTGTAGTTTCTTCGCAAAATTGCATAAATACCCACAAGTATAAAATTTTATAATATAAAAGCCTTTACTGCCTTTTTTCTGCATTAGAAATGTGATTTTACTTCACACCTTAGGTTGTGAACTAAGTTACTTTAGACACTAGGGCGTCAAGTTGTGGTATGTTTTTTTCAAATTTATGGCATTCGAGCATTATGATCTATATCGCCCATCGCCCGCTTACAATATTGTCGGTAGTAGAAAAAAAAGTGTAACAGGTGTGTAAAGCTTTTTTTTTCGTACATTTGTGAAAAAAGGTTCACTTTAGTCATTTATGTTTTATACTAAAAAAAAATCTAGTACCGACAATATTAAGCCATACATTTGAAAACATATACCACAACTTTACGCCCCAGTGTCTGTTATATACTCACAAATGCACAGTTTGGATAATTACTTTTATTGAAAATCTATATTTTATGACAATCATGATGACATAATGTCCTCAATAGACACCTACAATAATCATCCTAGCAAAACCTTAATAAATACCCGTACTTTAATTATTACTGGTTACGATTCTATGCAAAATGGAACAGGTAAACAGACACAACAGTGTCTAACTTAGTTCACAACCTAGGGTGTTAAGTAAAACCACATTTTTAGTGCAGAAAAAGGGCAGCAAATGCTTTTATGATATAAAATTTCATACTTGTGGGTATTTATTTCATTTTTGCGAAGAAACTAATACAATTTAGGGCAGGTATTATAAAACTATTTTAACAGAATAACTAAAAGTTAACTTCTCGAATGACGTTACTTCTCATGGTAATTCCAGAAGTTAACTTTTAGTTATCTTTCAAAATAGTTTTATAATACCCGCCCTTAATAAACTTTTTTGCTGTTGTGAATTACTTTACGCAATAGTGCTATTTTCACGTCTTTTGAACAGTGCGTGAAGTAAGTACTTTACGCGCGGTAGTAGAAAATAGTTATTTATGCAACATATGTGATTGTCGCACTCGCCTTCGGCTCGTGCGTCAAAATTCACATTCGTGAAAAAAGGTTCACTTTACACACTTGTTGCATAAATAACTATTTTCTACTACCAATCAAATATGTATAAAAAAATAAATTTAGACAAATTCTTCACGCACTAGTGCGTAAAGTATTTTCACTTTACGCACTAGTGCGTGAAGTAATTTACCATAAAAATAGTAATTTGACAGGTCGACATCTGTCATTGACATTACTTTATGCACTAGTGTGTGAAGTGAACTACTTCACGCACTAGTGCGTGAAGATAGATTTTACGTCTTCTGAATAGTGCGTAAAGTGAGTACTTTACGTACGGTAGTAGAAAAAAAATATTTGCTAGAACCAAAGGCAACTGTTATCATGTCAATCGAGTCAAAAAATAAAGTTTTCACATCCTGCATAAGTTTATTTGTTTTGGATTATTAAGTTATTTTCGACTATATCTCTTTACTCCCAACTACTCAGTACTCAACCTATGACAAACTCAAAAACTGTTCAAAAATCAGAAAAAAAAGCGCATATTTTTAAGTTTTTTTTTGCTAAGAATTACCTACGGTCAAAGTTTACAGCTACGGTTCAAAGAAAATTGAAGAAAACCAATTCAATTTATTCGTATTTTTTTTTTTTTTGACAAAAACACTACTTGTCAAAATGGTTTTATATTTTTATCTCATTCTTTAGTCCAAAACAAAGGTATTTTTTTTTTACTTGACGAAAATCGGTTAATAAATAAGAAAGTTACGATTTTTTTCAAGAATACCATCAGCCGCCATCTTTAATTCATCATGGCGGAAAAAGCAAGCCTCCTAGGAGGTGTAACTTTTTTTTACAGAGTACTATTGATGGGTACTATCATCTGTGAAAAAATCAGCTTGATTGCAAAAACTTCTCCTAAAGGCCATTTTTTCAGCTAACTGCCCTGGCCTAGTAGGCATTATCTACAGAATGCCAATAGCTCTAAATCGGGGACAA